CTGTTTGCCAAGGGCGGTGTGGAAACCCCGCCGCCCCCGCCGGCGGCAGCCCAGCTGGGTCCTCACCCGAGCGGCACTGTGGGACAAACCCCGCAGCACCCCAGCTGCTCTGCTCCGCGCCACTTCCCCAAGTCTGCCACTGCCGCTGCTGCAAATGAGGAGCAGCGGACTTGGGGAAGCTGCAGAACAGAGCAGCTGGGGTGCTGACGGGTTGGTCCCACAGTGCTGCCCCTCACCCCTCTGCTTGGCGATAACTACTGCAGTCTGGGGGGTAAGGAGACCGCTCCCCTCCCGGAAACTCTCAGCAGTGGTGCGGGGCCTCCCCCGCCTTCCTGCGAAGTGGCAGAGAGTTCGCCCCTCGCCGCACCGTTCCCCCCCTACTCCCCACCCCCCGGCCAGTCACAGTGCAGGTCCTGGCAGACCTGTCACAGGAATATAATCCCCTTACCCTCTTCTCCCCTTCCCTTTCCCAGCTGCAAGCGCCCATGGGGTTCACAGCAGCTCCAATTGTCCAGCTGGCCGGAGCACTTCCGGGTTCCAGTTGGTGCTGGACTATCGGGAGCGCTGGACCACTGGATGCCGGACAATTGGAGTTTTACTGTAGTAGAAAACAATATATGCCAAATTATAAGGAACACCTCCTACTGTAGCATGCGATAGAGTCATCTGCATGCAGCACAAAGGGGAAAAAACGCTATTCCATAGATGACTTTTCACTGGTCTTTCCCATATACTGTTAGAACAACTTACAACATCATGCTCAGGGATGTGACATTCCAGTAATGGGAAAGGATCATCCATTCTACAGATAATGAAAACAGCTATGGTTACATTATTCTGGATGTTTAATAAGGTATATAAATTCTCATGCTTCTGGTCATCAGCTCGTCCCTAATAGAGTCTAAGAAGGTACTTTTCTATGGCTAAGTTATTCCTTAATTGTCCATTATGGGTCTCTTGATATTTCCACTGAAAGATCTGGTATTGGCCAACATGGCCTGCACTTGGATAAGTTTTACAAATTAATTAACTGCTAGTTAGCTCAAGGTACATTCCACATTCCATGCCGCACCCAAACCTGGCCTACATATCCCTCCCTCAGGCCCCTAGGTAGGGAAGCAGCCCAAGAAACTATAATACAGCTCCTATTGGCCTGGAACTGCAGCCAATGGGAGCTTCTGGGGTGGTGCCTGCAGGCAGGGTCTGTGCAAATCTATTTGATCCCTCCTGCGAAGGGAGTGGTGTGGGCCAGGGCAGGCATGGAGCCTGTCTTAGCCCCACTGTGCTGCTAGCTGGGACCTGGAGCCTCCCAAGGTTAGGGCTGCGTGACGGGAGCCCACACCCCTAGTCCAGCTCCCTGCTTTATCCCATCCCAGAGCCAGTACCCTACACCCATTCCTGCCCCATCCTGAACCTACTGCCCTACCCAAACCCCAGCCCAGAGCTCATACCCTCTCCTGCACCCTAGCCTCCTGCCTCAACCTCAGCCCAGAGTCCTTTCTCCTACTACAAACCCCTTAGCCACAGTCCAGAGCCCACACCCCATCCCATACCGCAACCCCTAACCCCATCCCAGTGAAAGTAAATGAGGGAGAAGAGCGTGAGCAATAGGGAAGGGGGTGTGGAATGATCAGGGGAAGGGCCTCAGTAGAAGAGGTGAGGAAAAAAAATAGGGCAAGTGTGGGTCTTAGAAAGGGACAAGACCAGGGTGGGGCAAGGGTTTTTGAGCTTGTGTGATTAGATAGCCGGCAGCTCTAGAGGTACTTTATTCTCCCTGCTCTTCCTACTCTAACCTGGACGGTTCTACTATCTCATCGTCCACAGAAATAGTTACATTTCCCCGCTTCAGAAGTTGTATTGGTAGGAACTATACCACTGACTTAGACTAATCAGTTGTGATATTGTTTCTGAAAATATTTCCTAGAATAAAATGAAACATAGGAATCCCCACTTATACTGTATTCATGGGTTTTGTTCCACAGACATCCCCTGTCCTACTTCTCTAGTTAATAGAGTTGTTATTGCTTTGGTTACACTGACATCTAGTGACTTTTCAAAATACACACACAAAAATATTTCAATTATGTTTCCAAAATCACACCATATTTACCCAATCAACCAACACAGCTCCTTCAAGGATGGTCTGATCTCTTATATCCATACTTATTTAAAGGGACAGTGAAAAACAATAGATCTAAGTTTTCATTTACCAGTTGTGATATTCTCTTCTTTTTCTTTATATGGCACAAGTGTCTAGCAGGCCCTACTGCAATTGGGGCTTCATTGCTCTGGCTGTTCTTCACACATGCTGTAAGTGACAATTTTGTCCCAAAGAGCACACAGTCTCTGTAATGTAGTGAGTCACTTCACCTCCACCACATCTGTAGAGGTGGCAACCATAATTTGGTTGCTTGTGCTTCCTAAGTACAAGGAAAGAAATTGCTAACACTAGGCCTGATCCACTGACTTCAACAAGCTTTGGTTCAGGGTCATTGTTGGCAGTGCTGTACATTCCTAAGTCCATGTGGGTGAGGGCCATGACTACCCACCACCTCTGCCAGCAATGGGCTAAGAGAGTGCCACACATTTTTGCATAGCAGGAGAAAGTGCTTCTAAACATAATCCCCACACACCCTTGCAATAATAGCTTTTGTATAATGATTTTTATTCATAGATCTTAATACACTTTACAAAGCAGGTTAGTAACTATATCCCCATTTTACAGCAGAAACTGAGGAAGAAAGGTGAAGTGACTTTCCCATGGTCACCCAGGAGGTCAGTGTCAGAACCAAGAATAGACCCAAGTTTCTTGAGTCCCAGTCCAATGTATTAATCACTAGGAGACACACCAACCATTAAGCCTACCATCTTATACCTGAAGGCATTTTCCTTTATACACTACTGACACTCAAACCTCTTTCTATCTATGCACACTTCTCTGTGCTTTGCTGGTTTTTGAACACCAAAATGTAGACCTTAAAGTAGCACCTTAAGTATGCCATCCATGACACTTGCTTTAAATGC